AATGAATAAAATCATAAGTTTAAAAAACTAACAACATTAAAGCAATCATCAAAATATCATTTTAATCACAATTTCAACTTCACAATTTTAAATTTTGGCATTTTGTTTTTTCCACTTACAATAACTTACTTATTGATTATATAAATCAAATTTTAATTCGGATAATTTCATTTCATCTTAACAATATCTATTATACATGCATAGATCCGATTGTTATTTTTGAATAAATTTCATGCATAATCAAAATCAGTAAATTTAGCATAGCTTTGAATGAATTTCAAAAATAAAAGAATTCAATTATATGAAATGCTATTTAACCAGCCAGTCTTTTGTTCTTTTGATTACTTAATTCTTACAAAAAATGCTTTTTTATATGTGTCAAAGTTTTTAAAATTTATGTAAATATTTTTTGTTTAAAAAAAAGGAATTAATAAATTAGAAAAGTTTTGAAATATCTGTCATATAATACCTTTGAACTTTTCATTGCTGTCATAAAGAATTTTAATTCTTTGAAATTGCAAAGCATTTTTAACACAAATAAAAATAAAAAAGAAATTTTTAAATATTTCCAAAAAAAAGGAAAAGATTTGCTTATTTTCATTTTTACATAAAATAAATGAAAATTGTTGAAAGAGAAATAATTTGTAAATACTTCTGATCCAACAACAATTGAAGTGCTTTGTTTTATGGCACTTACTTTTTGTTTCCTTCTAAAATCGATTTTTGTTTTATTTCGTTGAAACCAACCACTCAAAAACCTATTGGTTGGTCGATTAGTTTTTGGCTGTAAGTATCATTTTTTTAATTTCCTTTCTTTTTTCAAAAGGAAATAATGTCTTCTTCACTTTAACAACATACATTACTGCTTAATGACAAATGATTATTATCAATACTGTCAACTGAAATTAATGGAATGAAATTTTAGGTATAGAAAATTTAAAATAAAAAATGATAAAAATTGAAAATAAACAAAATAAACAATAATTTTGACAGTAACTATGCATTCATTCATATTATTCATTTCAAATTTTAGTCATAAATAAATAGATATATAATTTCATACATAAACTATGCATTTATTCATCTTATATTATAAGTATAAATAGATACATATATAACTTTGTACAGCAACTATGCATTTATTCATTTCAGATTTCAAGTATAAATAAATAGATATATCGGCTTTCATTTGCTTTATCTGAATTTGTTGTATCTGAATTTTATTTAATCTTCCATATAGAATGAAAGGATGAAATTAGGTTAATCAATTAGTTCATTTTTTATAATTTCATTATTACGAAAATCTTTTACAGTTCAATCTATAATTTCTCTAATTTTTTATTTGCAGTTGAACTTATCAATTTTTTTTTACAATTAATTATAACTTTCTTATTTATGAAATGAAATGAATAATTTTGTTTGACACAACAAAAATTATTTCATTAGTCATCAACATATCATAAATACATTCAGAATTTCTACAATAAATGTAACCAATAATAAATTTTTTTGATGAAATGAAGAATGTAAGAGTTTGAAGAAATGATCAGTTATCAAAAGAGTAAACAATACGATGATCGCAACGCCGATAAGATTATTTTGTGTATCATATCGAATTCTTATATTACCTTAAAACCTCTTCTATGATTTGTTGACTCATTTAACAATGCAAAAAAAGTTGACAGAAAAAAGGAGAGAAAATAGAATTAATTAATTATTTGCTTTCTGTTGAAATTTAAAAAACAATTACTTTTCTTTTTATTAAAATTTTTAATTAAACTAAAAGTTTGACCAGTTTTTTTTCTTTTTATTTTGTTCTGAAAAGAAATATATTTTACAAAATTTCTTATCAAAACTTTTCTGTTTTAATAATTCACAAAAGATATTATTAACAAAACTTAAATAAATTGTTTATTGATATTGCAAGAATGAATTTAGTAAACAGCTGAAATTTGCAACTTTAATTCCATCTTTAATTCCGCTTCAATAATTCATATAAACAAAAGAGTTTGTTATGAAGAAGAAAACAAATAACTGCCAATTATGATGAATTGATCAGTGAAGAAAGTCAGACGAGTACCTTCTGAGCTGTTTTCTTTTTTTCTGATCTACTTTCTGAGCTACTTTCTGCTTTCTAACTTGCTTTCTGAGCTATTACCGATTTTCTAACCTATTTTCTGAGTTACTTTCTGATCGTAAATTAACATTTGACACGTCGAATTCCTCTTAATTTTATCCTTCTCAATTAAGTATTCCGTCGAATCTTTTACTATCACAATGTGTCATTAAATTTTCATTGTTTATTTTTTATATCTATTTTAATGCAATTGTTTTCTTTGTCTTTCAAATTTAAATTAAAAGTGCAAAAAAAAGTGCAAAAATTTGAATTATTCCTTGAAATATTCTCTTTATATATGAAAAGAAGCAAAATAAATGGGAATTCCAATTCTTTTTTAGTTGTGAAGACATTTGCAGAGAATATAGTAAAATAGAAAAACAAAGAAAAATCGATGAGATAACGGAGAGAAGAGAGGACGACGTCTGGTAAGAAAGATCTGTCGAAAATGTCGGGAATTGTTGATGGGATAATAAGTATTTTCGTGGGATGAGAATGAATAGAAGGAATCATCTGGTGTGCAATTGTTATTTTAATTTAAAGAAGTTGAAATTAAATCTGCAGTTTAGTGTTTATAATTTTAAGCTTCCTTATAATATTTTAGTCTAGGTATCATGCAAATTGTTTGAGAGGTATAAATAAAAGTACAATAATTGAAGACATTCATGTAATGATCTCTTGAATATTTCCCCCGCGGTACTGTGGCATTAATTTGAGGTTATCATTTTTTTTTTGTTTTGTTAATTAAAAGTAATTTCTTCATAGTTTATCAGACATTCATTCATTCGTCTATATCGATAATTTAATTTTATGGGAATCATAGAAGTTTGTTTATTATTTGTTCCTAATATATATAGAAATGTGAGAAAGGAGAGAAAGGAAGAGAGAGAGAGAGGGATAAGAAAAAGAAAAGATAAGTGATAAAAGTTATCCATTTTTTATCACATCTGGTGGAAATGAATGCCTATCGAAAGCAATGAAAATTGTTAGAAATTGCATAAATTTTATTTTTGCAGCTATTGTTATGATATATGATATTATCTCTCATTCATTCTCTTTCATTCATTTCATTTTAATTCAGTTTAATTTAATTTCTTTAATTCCTTTCAATTAATAAATATTTCATTGTATGTTATACTAAAGAATGTCATACCATCTCTTCTCCACTTTTTTTTATTGCAAAAAACGCAATTCCTTTGTCTAATATATTTAAAATTAGTTGTCCTTGAATTTGAAAATGATAGATTTGAGGTCACAATAAATTCATTACATTGACTTCTGATATTTTAAAAGATTTCTAAGAGATCAACAAAGGTAATAATATTCCATTTTCTTTGCTAAATTTTCAACTTACATTTTAGTTTTTTTAAGCTGTAAATGGATAATAAATGAATATATTGGAATTTTATTTTGTTCCATATTCGAAATGGATAAATTGGAAATGAATAATTGTGCAGTACGATGATGACGTAAGGAAATATTGAACTAGCTCAATTATCTTTAACGCTAACTCCTTTTATGGAGTTATTTTTGATTAAAACAACAGGAAGAAATATCAGAAGATAAAGAGTACTGGAATAAATTTGCATACGAGGTAGCATGGACTGAAAGAAATTTAACCAAAAGTTGCCGTTTAAGTTAAATCCTGCTTCTAATTACACGTAACACACGTATCGCATAAGTTGATTGTGACTGGAAAGTTAGAGATAGAAATGATAGGGGCGTTTTCTTTGGGTTTGTCATAGCATTCGCTCCATTCATTCTATATGGAATGATAATACATCGTTAACAGACAGACAATAAACATTGCTATGTCTCGCTATCGTGATTCATATGACTCACTATACCATTAATGTTTTTTTTTTTCCCTCTGATGTGCTTGCTATTGCTATGATTCATAATTAACTAAAGCTTAGGTATCTTTTCCAATTTTCAACTTCTCATTATGTGCTTTGTTTTATTTCAGAATAGGAGGTGTCATCTAAGGCATAAAGGTATTTATTTATTTTGCTTTTCTTTTTCAATCAAATTGAAAAATTTTATCTCTTCTTTCAAAGCATCACACAATTGCAGGAAGGAATTGAAAAGTATTATGTTGTCTTTTGCATTGGTTTTTGATTTTTCTGATTTACCTTCAAATAACCAAATATTTTGTTGTTGGATTATTTGTTGGCTATGAATTTTTACGTATGATGTTTCCTTTCACAACTGTCATATCAATAATAATATGGCGAAAATATGTCTCCAATATTTTTTTTCCAATTCGTTTTCTTTTCATGCAATAGTTTTATGGATATCTTGATTGATAGAATTTTGTCAAATTTCAACAAGTGGTTTTGCTTTTAGCAAAAACGTTGATTGTGATCACGTTGGATTTGACTATCCGTCATTTAAATTCATCCTACGTGATCATTTCAGAGGGTAGCTATATACTGAATGTTTAACAAGTGAGACTTAATTTTCGAAAGCTTTTTAAATAATTAGATTTGTTTGAAACTTTTGACAAATGTAAAACACGATGAATAATTACGTGTCCAAGTTTAATCACATGTAATTGAACGTCCCATTTTTCGATTTTCTCGATTAGCTTTTTTTTTCATAAGCTTAAACGGAAAGTAACGCTTATGAAGTAAAGTACTTCATAAGTGTTATTTTCCATTTAAGTTATTCCGTATGTAAAAAATTTGAGATTTCAAGTGAGTTGTAATTAACTGTAGATATTTTTTATATTACGCGTAAGCTTACAGTGAACAGCATAGATATTAGTATTGCGTGCAGTTTATTATTGTATACGAAATCTTTATTTTTCTGAATTTCTTTATTGTGCTGAAGAAAACTAAAAACACCATTTTAATTTAAATAAAAAAATGGATGCTTTTGCAGAATGCTTTTACTGATAGAGCCACCTGGTAGCAAACATCATGGTGTTACCGAATCTGTTACACAACGTGGACAGCACCTTCTAGAATACAGCACACCTGAGGAAGATGAAGAACTGGATAATGACGATGTAACGCCATCAACAGCTGTCGGAACAATAGCATCTTATGCACAGGTTAGGAGAGAATTTGAATTATAATCAGTTGTAGATATTCCATTCCTATTTTATGAAATTGTGATTAAAAAATCGCATTTTCATCACTGACACTATTGCTCCGTTCAGTTTAAATTACAGAATAAAGCTTTTTGCGTCCCCTATATCAGACAGTGGCACCTGCAAAGGTTAAGTAAATATAATTTTACTTTAGTGATTGAGTTTGTGGAAAAAATAAGTTGAGCCGGGAAAAAGAAAGGTTCTTTTTTGTTTTCCAGATGTTAGCACTGCCTTTTTTTGTCAATTTCAATGACAGCTTTATTGTGTTTCCAGAAAATGGATCAGTTTTTGGTTGGCAAATCTGATTCGTATGAATTTTCTGACCGATGGAAACGCGAATTCAGTGAACGACCGTCGTGGTGCGATGCGGATATGGCTTTGCAGCAAATTAAACGGGTTAGAATAATTTTCTCATTCTGTATCTTAATAGGCATCCTCAGCAAGAAGCAAAAAGTCGTTCCTGCTTGACACTATCACTCATTCTAAAACTATTAACTTTTTCAGGGTAAAGCACGTGGCAATCGGGCAGCTTTATATTCGAGAAGTTTAATTCAAAAAGCACTGTTTACGCTGGGAACATTTGTACATCATCATGCATGTCTCGTTATGTTAATCATTGTAATGTTCTTCTGTTTCTGCTGCTATGGCTTGCAGTATGTTCGCATTGAAACAGATATCGTTAAGTTGTGGGTGGCGCGTAAGTTTTGCTTGAACTAAACATGAATAAATTCTTGGTATACGCTTAACTGAGTTCTAATTATTTTGCAAAAAACTGTTAAAAAATGTAGAAATTTGTTTTAAAGTTAACAGTCATTCATTAAAATTAGCGGGAATTGCTACTTGATCAAGTGTAATGGATTTCTTTTTCATATTTTCTGATCCGCACTTCATATTTCTTTTTATATTTTGTTTTATATTCGAAGACGGTGGACACAGGTTTTTTGCATTTAAAAGTAGTTAGGCGTTCAGTGAGAAGAATATAGTATCAAGAAAGAGAACTAAGATCAATTATTATAATTGAAGAAAGAAAATACTCCTAATCATTTTAAAGCATTAATCTCTCATTCGAAAATTTCGAAATATATCAATGTATTGATTTTCATTCACTTTTTCAGAAGATTGATTGATATTTTTAATTTGCAAAACTCTATCTTATCAGTTACTCATTTCAAGAGCTGTTTTATTTCTCAGGTGGTGGCCGATTAGAAGAAGAACTTAATTTTCTTTCAAGAATAGACAACCTAAATGCTGATGAAGCACGTGGTGAAACAGGTCTTGGTGGTGCTTATCAGGTATCTTTCCTCACATATCTTCACAATTTCATTTTCGTTCTTTTTTTCGTTTTATCAGCTTCTTTAATTGGCTAGTAAATATATAAACAATAAGCTGATGAGCACTTCTGATTACTCATCAATTAGCCAAATAGATTGGCCAGAAATCAGTTGTGTTGGGAAGGAGAAGGAAAAGAACAAAGGAGATAGAAGACCCTGTGGCTCGAATCCATTTCAAAGGTTTTTTTGTTTCCTAAATTGCCATAATAATTTTCAGGTTGTGATACAGACTCCAGTAGTCGAAGGTGATAATATACTTACTCAAGAAGGTTTGCTAGAACATGTCACAATTCTGGAACAAGTTGCTAAGTATAAAGTGAATGTTGCTGGCGAGTGTGTTTTTCTGCTTTCGTTTTACTTTGCTGTATTAATTTGTTCACGTAGTTTTGTAAAAATCTTTAAATTTTGGGAACCATAACTATTTGTAGCTTTTTAAATTGATCATTCTACTTTTCTCATTTACCTGTATAACTAGTCGTTCCGAGTATTAAAAATAGCTTCAAAATTCAGGACGTAAGCTGTAGCGTGTTGAAATACGAAATGGGGATTATCTTTCAAAGCTATTTAAAAAAAATTATATACTATTGTCTGTTCATTTAACTTGCATTTGTTTTGAAATTGGTTGTGGTAGTATTTTTAAATGATTTTGCTTTAGAAATTGGACTCTTGCTGATCTATGCTTCAAACCGCCGCTACCGAAAATTGACCACGTATTTGCTACTCAATTTTTACCGCTTATTTATAAAATAATACCATGCATTTGGATCACACCGATTGATTGCTTTTGGGAGGGATCAAAAGCGATTGGACCACATCCCAGTATTGAAATCAGGTAAAAAATGACGAATGGGCAAATAGAAAATTTTCAATTTAATTTCATCCGAATTTAACTTTGTTTTAACTTGTTTAGAATGTAAAAAGGATTGAAGTGCAGAAGTTATTTTATTGGTATAATATTATGGACTTGCTGCTGTATTCACTGAATGGATTTTTTAGTTCGCTTGGATTTGGGAAAGAATTCTTGACATCGCTATCAAACATGGACACTTTATCATGGTCGAACATCGATCCACAAGCGCTTCTAGATGAGTTATCCGAAATTTTGGACTTAGACAATTTCAACAGTTTTTTTCATCGAGTAAGCCTTTGCTTTGCTAAATGATATGCTGATACAATGTAATATAATTTGGTACCAAGAATTTTGCATTTCGCTTTATTGTCGCATGTTGGAGAAGTAAAAAATCTTTTAGCTTTGTAATTTGAATCAATATTTTGTGATTGTTATAAGGCTTATTAAAAAATTGAATGACAAAGTTTGTAACTAAATAAAGTAAGTTATTTCTAATTTCAGGCTAACATAGGCAGAGGTTATCTTGATCGATGGTGCATCGACCCACTCAATCCAGAGTGTCCAACTAGATCACCAAATCACTTTGCTTTTTGTGACCTGGTCCCCAGATTTTTGGAATATTCCAGGAAACAAGGTTTTGAAGTACCAGTTGATCCGGAATATCTTCGCCGCGAAGAAAGAAAGAAGGACTTGGAAAACGAATACAGTCTGTTCGATTTCTTCGGCAAAAGTTGGCTCAATATTCTAAAGTATTGTTGAAAGGAATGAGCGAGAGAAATTCTTAAATATTTTTATAGTGATTGCTGAAGATGCGAAGTACAATTTGATTTCTTTTAGAAATTTCTAGCAACCTTAGATCGAGAAAAAGGTCATTCCGATTTCACATTACTTATAATTAAAATAATAGAATTTTGATAAGAAAGCGCTGAATTTAAGTACACGACGAAATTAAATTTTTTATATAATGATATAATGAAATCAATTTTCAGGACGGAAGAGAGGACTGAGAAAGTCGATTGATAGCCATCTGAGTGTAGATGGAATGTCGAATAATGCAAATCGATCTGAACTTTCTCTTAACAAAGGTGAAACTGTCGAAGCAAATAAAACAGAATTTTGGATTGTTAATTTTAATTCAAAGCTTATCCAAAATAGCACAGACAGCGGACAAATTGCAACTTCTAAAGTTCCACTAGGAACAGAATCTATCGGATCAGCAGAAGCAACACTAAATCCAAAAGTTCTGTCTTCAATGAACACAAAGGAAAAAGGTTGATAATTTTGTTGTGATTGAAAACAAAGTTTATGCTTGTCATTCCGGGACGTATCAGAATTTTGTGGTATTTAAATTCAAGGACATTTGAATTAATGCAAGTGTTTTCAAAAAATGTCTTTTCTCGATAGACGTGGCTGCCAACTTTTCTTCAGGAATTAGGACCGGACCATTGAGATAAATTTTTAAGGAACAAAATAGATTAGCTTAAGCAATGCGCAGATATCTTATTGTAGTCAATAGCCGTAACGAATTTTCCCTTCAATCATTTTCATCATAACTGAAGGCCACGACTCCCCTCAAGTCAAGCGGTTCTTCAATTCTCGATACAACCTGGAGTTTCCAGAAATGAAGTTTTTTTGGATTATAAGTGACATTAGTCAATTAAATCCAAGCAATTTGAAGCAAAGTTATCATGAGGAAAAGTCAGTAAACTTCAGGTTCAGGTTCAGTCGCTCATCAGGATCACAGTGATTTCCTGTATAACGATGATGAAGATAAGGAATTTAATTTAAATGGTGAGAAAACTAAGCTGCATAAGTTGTAGTAGGAAATGGTGTATGTGTGTATTTTTAGTTGAATGGCATGCTCTTTTTTGCGTTATATTTATAAGGACTTCAAATTTCCACTTTGCTTTTCTATGGCTTTCACCCATATGTTGCTCTTATTGTCAAAAGTATTAATTGATGACCACTATTTGAGTTTGTGTTTCAAGTTCGGTTTAGATATTTAAATTCTTTGAAATCTTTAGTTGGCCTTTGTTTTCTATTTCTGATTCATCTATATCTGAGCATGGATCTATTTGAGCATGATGTTGTGTCACAGCTTTTACACTGATATGAAATTCAGTTTTTTTTTTGTTACTCAGGAAAGAACAAATCGAAATTTCAGCTGAATTTTGCGCGAAGTATGCACGACCTTTTTCGGAATGGCTTCGGAATAATACGGATAAGTGGCATGAGTTTCTTAAATTGGTATGGCTTTATTGAATTTTAAATGAAATATTATAACAGATTTTTCGTTTTTTTTTTAATAAGAATCTTTTCTATGAGCAGCCTTTGCTTAGAGGAAAGGGGAGATTAAAGAGACTGGTATAATAGTTCTCTGAACAAATTCATGTTATCGTTTTCAGTACAGTATCGCCCTCCATAATGTCCGTATGTGAACGTTATTGGTTTTTCAAATGATTCTAATGGTCATTCAGCTTTTCATTATAGTGGAGTTTATTTTTCAGCATGAAATGCCTGCACTTCCTAATTATGGTAAAGTAATGACCGGTGGTTGTCGTAGTTTCGCGAAAGATGTCATGTTATGGCCACAAGATCTGATTATTGGTGGTGTTCAGATAGAAAATGGTACCATTGTAAGTGCGGAAGCTTTGCAAAGCGTATTTTTGGTTGCTTCGCCTACTGATATATATAATCGTTTTAAGGTATACTTTGTTGTCTGAAAAGAGATGAAAAATCGACTGGTTAAAAATCATAAAAAGTCTGAATTGTTAATGTTGAAAACTATAGTGAATTTAGCGAATATTTGGACATCATTGTATTATTTTCAAAGATAACCAAGATTTGCTTTTCAAGATATGTGTCAAAGAAAGGTAGGTATTTTCATACAGATAAACTTATAATAATATGAATTCTGTTTGACAGACGATGCCCGTCATTTACCCAAGCATACTTATCCAATCATTTTATTTCACAGGATGGTGACAAAATTTATTCAAAGCCAAATTTAAACCTAATGCAATGGAATGTAACTGTGGCAGAAAATGTGGTCAGAACGTGGCAACGTAACTTTACAAAGAATCTGTACAATCATCAATCGAACTTCATCATTGATCAAAAAAGTGATTCGAAAGTTGCCCATCGTCGCATACATCCATTGGCATCAACATCAGTGGCCGATATGCTAGAACAGTTTTGCAAATTCAATTACAGCATCATTTTTATTGGGTGAATTTTTCTTAATGAATTATCTATGGAAAAAAGAATAGTTTCTTGTAAGTATAGAAAAAATTAGCACGTCTTGAAAGGAGTCATTTCACTGCAATCAGCAGCCAATAATTATCTTAATAATGAGAGTGGAATGGGACTGTTAGAAATCAGTCCAATTTTAGGAATTACTAAATTTGGAGGAATTTTTCCGATCAATTCAAAAATTTTCAAAAATTGTTGAACATAAACTTAACACAGCAAATAACTAGGGAGTCATGAAACTAAGACTGTTAGAAATCAGTCCAGTACCAATTTCGGGAAAGAAAATTCAACTCACAATCGTAGCTATAAAGCTTTTCCAATTAACCAACTTGTTGGTTTGGGATTTCCATGATTATGAAGAAGATAATTATGAAAAAAGTCTGTGATCACATTCTTTGATGATTAATTAATGAACCAACATCACCAATTTTAAATTCTGCTCGCCTAATTAGTTGTTTTAGATACTTTCTGATGTTGATCTACGCATTGCAAGCTCAAATGAAATGTCATGGATGCATGCTAGCTGTTGATTCATTCATAGGTTTGGCTTTTGCCGGTGTCTTAGTAGTTACATTTGCATCAATTGCTGGTTTGGGCTTTGCCACATGGCTGGGTATCGAATTCAATGCCGCTACTACTCAAGTTAGATTTTTTTGATCTTGGATTAAACTTATAAATTTACACTGCAACAGTAGTAATAAATGTTGAAATTTTTAGTTATGGAGTGAGTTTTCGCTATTGTCGGCATTTGAGGCATTTTTTCATCATAATTTATGAATTTCATCTTAATTAAGAAATATTATTGATCGCTTTGAAATTTTATTGATAAATTTTCCATTGATAACTTAACTGATGACTTTATTTAATAATTCTCGCTTTTACCAGTAATAATGAGCTAAATTTAGATGGATTATTTTCAGATAGTGCCATTTCTAGCGCTTGGTATTGGTGTGGACAATATCTTCCTGCTATTGCATAATTATCACAGTGTAATAAAAAATGTGAAGAAGGATGAAATTGGTATGTTAATGAAAGAAACCGGTATGAGTATTATGATGACATCCATCAATAATATTCTTTCGTTTTTTACCGGAACATTGTTACCAATTCCTGCATTACGCGTATTTTGTGCTCAGGTTTGAATTTTTATAATTCACTAAGTTTAGTTCCGGCATAGAAAGCAGTCTTAAAACAAGATTAATTCTTGAAATTTGAACCAAATCTTGAAATTTAAACCAAATGAGATTTGATGAGAAGATATCGAAATGTAAAGCCTATCGTTTCTAAACTAAGTTCATCTTCCGTGAATTGGTTTCCATGTATCTTGGAAAAGAAAAAGTTTTCCATTTGTACATCTTTTTCTGAAAGAGAAATGTTTTTCACACAGTTCTTTAACATTTCATTTTCAAGTTTAAATTTATTTCAGTCTTGTATTCTTTTGACGTTTAATCTTATTGCTGTGCTTACGATTTTCCCAGCAATTATATCAATTGATTTATGTCGTCGCAAAAGTCATCGTCGAGACGTTTGTTGTTGTTCGGTGATGAAGGATTCATTCGCAAAGGAAGGCAATTGTCTAGTTGATATCGGTGTCAAACCACATATCCAAGTCGGTATTACTATCTGCAGATATTTAGAAAGTCTAAACTATTTCTGCAAAAGTTTTTGATGAATGAGCGCTTAAATAAGGAACTACAGATAGATTGGTTTTCCAAGTGAGAGAGTATTTTTTATTTAATTAAGATATTGATTATTCAAGTGTGTTAATAAACTTCGTTCTTGATTGTTCGAAGAGTTAAGCGAGAGAAGGAAAAAAGTTAATTCATTGTTATATTAATAGATTATTTCATATTTATCGATGTGGTATAGCTTAAAACACTAGCTTTTTTTTAGAGTGATTTGATTCAGTTTATCCATGCAGAAATTCCAGGAAAAATTGACAGTTGGTGGAACAGTGCCTTCATATCATAATCTATATTCTCCTAACGATCGTGGTGATGACATAGAGGACGATATCGTAAAGCCTTGGACTCTTCATGCTTTCCTGCGCTATTACTACATACCATTCTTAAAAAAGACAATAGTTAAAGTGGGAATTTTTTTTCGGAGTATTTTTTCTTGATTTAATTCTAATTCCTGTTTCAAAAAGCATTCAAGTTTCGATTGGTGGAAAATATTCTTTCTTGCATACTCATTTTGTCCCGATTTTTATAAAGCTAAATTATGAAGTGTGGACATAAATTTTGTAAGTACGATAGTTTTAAATTGATGAGTTTAATGCAGGATTGAAGTTAAAAACAAGATATTAACTTATATACAAGCGTTGCTGCGTTTATGTTCTTCGTTCCGTACATTTTTTAAAGGTTTTATTATTTCAGATATTTGTCATCTTGATTTGCTTATGTTTGTTACTTGCTGGACTGTTTGGATTACGCAGCACTATGTTTGGTCTTGAAATGAGCGATGTGCTGCCCGACCAGACAGCACCAGCTGCTTTCCTGAAAGCTCGGGATCGTTATTTCAGCTTTTACCCGATGTTTGCTGTCTTGCGTGGACCAGGCATTGACTATGCAAAAAATCAACACAAGATTGACAATTATCGTTTGAGCATAGGTAAATTATTCTTTTGTTTTTATGATCTGAAGGTTGGCACTGATTATGTAATCCAAACGTTTTTGTTCAAATCTGAAAAAGAGCTGAATAATTTATTTAATCCATACTCTCTATATATGGATTAAATCATCAATGCAGATTTAATATTTTGGATAGGAGTACAATTTAAATGTTATAAAATACCCTTGATATTTTTTGTCCTTTAAAGGCAACTTGCATACTTTTTTAATTTTTCACTCACTGATTTTAGGCAGTTCTTCTTTTGTTATGAAAAATAGTGAAAATGAACCAAGCGAGAAATATTGGTTATCATTGTTAAGGATTTGGCTGAGAAGTTTGCAACAGAAGTTGGATCAAGCAATAGCTGATGGTTTGGTAAGTTTTCAAGACCTTGCTGGAAATTTGTATTGAGTTTCTGAATTCACCGTTTTTAAAATTTATTTATTGCTGTGTATGTATCTGTATGTATGTGGAAATCGCTAATGATTCAGTATTGTTCCCTTAAAGATTGATTCGTCAACGGGTGAAGTTGTGGGTGAAGAAAATGACTTTATGGGAAAAACCAAAAAATTATCAACTGATGTCAATATTGCTTATCGATTGGCATGTAGCTACGGAAATATGTACAACTGCACCGGTCGTGTAAGTATCTTTTCTAATCATCTACAAGCTGAATAGAGATTAAGCCATTTTTTAAGGGAGGCTTACCATTCATCTATGCAACTTTCCAATTAAAAATATCTACTATTTAAATAGTAGATACATTTTTAAAGAGCTAAAAGTAGATAGATTAATGGAAAAATTTTGGTAGATAGATTAATGGGAAATATTTATTTGCAGATCGGAAGAGTACGTTTTGTAGATGAAAGTGGAACTATTAACATGGAAAGTTTTTACAACTATTTAACGGCTTGGTATAATTCTGATGAAATGATGTATCACGTTTCATTAGCTTCGTTCATCCCCTCACCACCGGAATGGACGGTCGAAGATAAAACAATTCGTTTGGTACCGCCAGCAGGTCCATTTGAATACAGCCAAATACCCTTTTATCTTACAAATCTATCCAGTACACCGGTTATTATCGAAATGGTTAAAGTTAGCCATTTTTCTCTTTTTAATTTTTCAAACTTCTTTTATTCTTCATATTTTATTTTGTTCCCTTTATTTCTCAATCGAAAGCTTTTGCACGAAGCAAATTTGTCATAACATTTGCATTAGTTAGGAATTTTTTGGATATTACGATTTATCTCGATTTATCTCTAGTAATTTATGAGTTAATTATATTAAGTCCAACAGGGATTTGTTTAGGAGATTCGTGCTATTTGTGATGAATTCAATGCCAATGGTCTGCCAAATTTCCCAGCCGGAGTTGCATTTACATTCTGGGAGCAATATTTACATTTGAGCAGCAACCTTTTCCAAGCTATTTGTGTAATAGCATTTGCTGTATTTTGTTTGATCTCTATTATTATTTGCAATCCATGGGCTGCTGGTTAGGAAATTTTAATTTTTTGTGATTTATTCAAATATCACTACATATTTTAATCGAAATTTCATTGCAAATGTTTCTTAAAATTAGAAAAAAAAGGAATTGGAGAAAAAATTTTGCTGTTGATGTCATTACTGATTTTCATATATGCAATGGAAAGGATATTTCAGGTATTATTTTGATAATTTTACTGTTAATGACTATTGAACTCACCGGTTTCCTTGGTTTGGCTGGTATCAAACTGAATCCTATCTCAGCTGTAACAGTGGTCACTGCCGTCGGTATTGGTGAGTCTTCCATAATTTTTATATTTTGATTTTGATAATAGTGAGAGATTTTATTTCAGAATTGTTAAATTTTTGTTCAAAAGTAAGCTAACTAAATTAGTAAGATATTTTTTAGATTCGTAATTTTTGGCTAAAATATAATAGCGATAGTAAAGTGAATAAGATTCCGGCGTGAATTTATATGTTTCTCGACGGCAATACATTTACATTTTTTATCCATATGATTAATCTGTTGGAACCCTTAACTTATAGAGAGTTAGTATTGAGGAACTGTCAGACATTCCGCTTTTATATCGTATCTGGCTTTCTTACTCAAATTTCATAATCAGTAGGTGTTTTGTATGGATTGCTTAGATTGAAGTTAATTTCAACAAAGACAATCTGTTTATGGTAACCTATAAAATGATAGATTAAGCGAGCTTTGACGTGATTTTCCCGCGAAATTGTGTGTGATACATAATTACGATGGAGAAAGGGAATTTGCTGCATAGAATGACCACGCAGTCATGATAATCATGGAAATGAACTGAGCTAAATGAATTGAATTTTAATTCAGCTTTAACTTAATTGAAGTGGAAATCTAACGGAGTATTTTTCTAGGAGTAGAATTTACAGCACACGTTGTGCTAGCATTTTTGACATCGCTTGGCACCCGAAATGACCGGATGGCATCGTGTATCGATCGTGTTTTTGTTCCTGTTATTCACGGTGCTTTTTCGACATTACTTGGGATTATTATGCTTGCTTTTTCGGAATTCGAATTTGTTGTGAAATATTTTTTCGTAGTAATGTCAGCATTAATTTTCATCGGTATTATCAATGGTCTTGCTCTGCTACCAGTTTTACTGTCACTTATTGGACCACCATGTGAAGTTAGTTGTTATGGAAGACTTTTTTCCGTTGATTTAGTTATAATATTTATTAAATAAATAAGGCTGGAGCCATTACTCTTATTTTAGCTAAGTCAAAAACTTTCTTCTAATAAATTTGAAATCTTGGACAGTTTTGAGGATAAATTTATAGTAATTACTTTTCGTAATCCATTCCAAAATTTATTGTCGAAAGGATATAGACGAAATCAGTCGGGAAAATACGGAAAAATAACAATGTTTTTTTAAAATTTTTATCCATTCTCAGATTGAGCCGTTGGATGGAAGCTGTCGTTTGTCTCCTCCACCGCCGTTACGTCGACAGATAAGACGGACAGTGCAAGAATCTCAAGCACATCGGCGCAATTGCTCAGATGATAGTAATACTGCAACTCTGCGCTCTGAAAATGTACGTGTTTTATCGCAAATTAATCATATTTAAATTTCTTATAATACTTCTAATTAATTTCACCAGAATTCTAACTAGTTTTTTTGTTTTTCACTTTCAGTTGATTTTCAGAATTTTCAAATTTCATCTGATTTTTTTTGGATTACGAAACTTTCTTAAATATCAGTTAAAATTGGACTTTTTTCTATTCAGTGCAGTACAATGCTACTAATAGCGCCGCCACGAAGCGGTAATGGTGGTCCATTGGGTGTACCACGGCTGGTTCCAAATAGTCATGCTCGATCCGCAAGTGATCATATTGTATGAATTTGGAGTGCTGTTTTTTTCCTTGGATGATTGCGCGACATTTTGTTCTTTGCTTATTTTATTTATATTTCTTTTAAGTATCATGGGTAGTGATACATTCCTTTTCAAAAAAATTAGTGCAGGCATAATTAGTGTTGCAGTGAAATTGTCAGTAAAAAGAGTTTTGATTAAAAATACTGAAATAATGAGTACTGTTTTCTCCGATGCTACATGAGAGAAACTATTATTAATTTTTTTCAGTTGGGGATTTCAGAATTATAGATGAAAATTGTTCGCACACTGCGTTTTATATGCATCACCTATTCCGGTAATTTATATTTTCATCATCATATGTGATCTCGCATTCACCCACTCTCCATTCACCCTTTGTTTTAATTTCTTTTCTTCCATCAGTTTTGTTTTTTATCCATGTAACTGATGAAAGATGAGTTTTTTTCATAGTTTGGGTAATTTATCATACTGTGGGTGATTTTTATATTACAGGTAGATTTATTTCATATTCATTCACTGGTCCTAGACTATGTCAGTATTCAATATTTCTGGATTTTTTCTTCGTATGAACCGAGGAGTCATGCTAATTCCCATAGTTTTTCAATGGGTAGTTACATACTATGTTTTTTCGCGGAATCTCAATTTTTGACAACATTTTCGGAAAATTTTTTAAAAAGAAATTTTTTAATTTATGGTTTTCCGATTAATATTCTGTTTCCGATTATTCTGTTATTTTTTGGATTTTTTGTGTTTTTTATAACCTCTTTTGTTTTCGTTTTTATTTATTTTTTTAATTATTTTTTCTTGCCCAACTTATTGATCAGTCTCAGTTGCTGAAAAGAAGGTTAAAATTGAGGAAGAAAAGGGAACGGGATGTGTTGGGATCTTTTAAGTGGACAGTTCAGATCGCTTAGTCTTCTTATGCTCAATCTTAATATATTCCAGTTATTGTAATGTTCACAAGTTCCTTGCTAAACAAGAATGAAAATTAAAAAATGCTGAATTTACGGTATCTCACTGATTTAATGTTTGATTCCCATCACATGCCGATTATATATATCCGATTTGTATATATGTCCAGATGTGCTGCACAAATATTATAATATTTTCGGATTTGTAAAATCTTTTAATAATTGATACTTTCATAATGTTTTTCCCAAATAATGTGGTTTCAAAAATTAGCAAAGCAAAGTGAAAATAATCTTAAATTCCAAAAAAGTCTTTTTTGATGTTGATTCATCGTTGCATTGTTATCATGATTTTTAAGTGTGTTATTCTTGGTCAACAATTTTTCGAAATTATTTTAAACTCGAACATAAAATCAATTATGCATTTATAGTCATCGATGAATCCCATCAAATTTCTATATTATTTATTGATTTATTGTTGATTATGTACATTTGTATTGTTGTATTGTTCTGGGAACGAAATTATCCCATCTGAGCTTATATTATCTCTTGCTATCAAGTGATCATTTCGGTATGTAAATACTTGAAAGAATCGTTCTCTCTCTTTTTTTTTTCTCTTACTTATTTTCTGGAAGCTTTACTATTTGATTTCAATCCGCTGATATGTTTACTTCTAATATTTTTTTCTTCCAGATGTATAGGCCAATGCCACGTATTTTATTAAATATGATGATTCAGGCCTTTTTTCGGTAATATAGGTGGTTTGTTTGGGATGAGTATTATATAACTTTGCAAAATACTACTGTAGGCCTGTTTTACATATACGTCCTTGTATGTACAAAATTCATTTTTCTACAGATCTTAATTTCGTTGCTTTTTATCGCCTGGTTTTTATTTATTTCTTTCAAAACAGTCATTTTTCAGAGAAAAATTTTGATATCGGATTGCAGGCATATATAACTTTTATAAGTTGACTGTTTTTGATCTGCATTTAAATCACACAAGAATTTGCGCAGTCACCATTTTGTTTCGTGAAAGAATGTTTCATATGATTTATAATTGCCGGTTGTATTCTCATTTTTTTATCTTGTTCTGTGCTTTTTTCCTATCTGAAATAATTGAATTGAAATTTATATAATAAGGTTATTATTAGCATTTTATTTTGTTTTTCTTCGTTTTTTTCTTGGTGGATAAATTGATAATATCAACATGATGATTCATTGACATCAACAAATTATTGAGGAATTTTAATTGATAAACCGACGATATATTTTATTCCAAACTACCAGCAACGTTCAACTAATTATTTTCTTGTTTTTTTTCTTTTTGACAGAGAGAGTGAAAATTAAATCAGAATGTAAAAATTAAATAACCGTTGTAGATAATTTTCAAAGTAACGAGGTCAAAGGAAACGTGTTAATATATTAAAAAAATCATCAGTGAGTGAGTCATCATCGTTCAACAACAGGAAATATCTTGAACGGGTAAGTCATCACTATTCAACAATAGTTATAGAAGTAAAATCTAATTTCTATATTCCTGTTATTAGTTCTATTTCATATATATAATTCTTAGTGATTATTATCATATGGCTGGAATTTTCATATTTCGACCTATGCTATAATATTTCGTGTTACTTTTTTTCTTTACCGGATATATTATAGCATTAAACGAAGAAGGAAATGAAATTTTGAGGAAAAAACAAGAATTGGAAAATTGGAAAAAGAGAGTAATGGAAGAAGAAAGAGGAAGTAGGAGAAAAGATTGAATTGTTTAAACAAATAATGATAACTGTCTAATTGTCACGAAAGGGAGAACTCATTGAATCGGTTGAAGCTGTCGACATTTCGTGTCATTTCACTTTAGCTTATTTTAATCTTATCCGATAATATCTTATCGGATAAGATTTTTTCATTTTAAAATTCATTAGTAAGAAGTAGTAGCCAGTAAGTCTTGTCGAGTTTAATTCTTATTTCACTCTTACAATGAAATTAAAATCCCAAGCATAATGGTTCGAAAATCGCATTTAGTATTATTTCTTTATTCTATATTGCATTCATTTTCTTATTTATAATAAGAAAAGCTTTCCACAAAATAGCATAGGATTATGATATAAATTTTGATATTGAAATTTAAGTAAAATATTCAAATTATTGCAATTAGGAGATTTATTAGAAGATTGTTGCAAACATTGTATCATAACAATGATACGAACATCATTTCATATAGCGTTGAAAAAAATCGCATTCAAACAAATATTAAGTTTTTATTCATTTTAGAATCTAATTTCTTTTTTGCAAAATTTTACTAACTTTACATCTTAGTTGACCATGTTGATGATAATTTTAAATAGCCAATAGAGGATGAGTAGATATAGTGAAATTGCAATTTTCTTCTTCTAATTCAAAATTTCCAATTTGCTATGATTTGGTTCCTTCCATGATATAATTGAACTGTGCCGTAATTATTAGTGTATGATAAAGATGTTTTACATTTCTGTAATTTTATAGAAAGAAACTATCCTCATCTTTTTCCTTGAACAGATTGATAGATTTAAATAGATTACATACTCTTTCTTTAAATTATTCAATTATTCAACATTTTTTTAAAATCTTATCAAAGAACAATCAAAATTGACATCATGCTGCAAATGAATTTGTTGCTGATACTAATGCATCAAATAATCTTATCTTTGCAATAAAACTTATTTAGTTTAAATGAGAGAAATAAATGGCTTAGTTTGCTTGAAACAGATTGTTTGGTCTTTTCTCCATTAGTTTCTTAAAATCTTAAAATGCTTTTGATGGATTAATTGAACTATTTGCTTGCTGCATATGTTTTTCTTTCTCGTGCTAAATGCATATTGATGCCGTAAATCCTATTTTTGATTTATGGTACCAATTGGTACCATAAATTTAAAATGATCATAATAAAGCAAAAGTTATAGAAAAACCCTTTTCCCATTTAGAAGTATATTTTACTTGAGATATTTTAACTCCATTAGATAATATTATTTTTCACTAATTTTGATTTTTCAGTTTATTCTTAAAATATTTTTTATTTTTATTGTGCTATTTGTTCTAAGAGTTTAAAACTGATAATTAAATTCTCTATTCAAAGTAAAAGTTTGTTAAATTCTTAGTATTTATTAGTAAACAATAATGAATATACAATGAAATGAATAAGAGAGAAATGATTCATTTGATAATATTTATTAAGTTAACCATTTATTTAGTTAAATCACAAATAAGTTTAATGCACCAGATCAGAGTAATCTTATTGGCCATGTTAAAGAATACGGTAATAATAGGCTAAGTTATTCCGGCATTTGCTGCAAATTATTTTTTCCTCCAACAACTATGTAATTGACTGATCCTCGTTCCATTAATAACGCAATTTCCACTCTTCACTCATTTTAAAAGATACATTAACTTCCATATTGTTTATCAAAAGGATAATTTTTCTCTAAAGCACTAAAATTTTCCAATTATTTTAAACATCTAAGACATTCATATTTTAATTAATTTCTTTTGTTATACTAAAAAAAATTTTATAGTATTTAATGGTAAAAAATATGGAAGTCAGTGATAAGCTATTAATTGTTATTTTAATATACTCACCTGAATTGTTTTTGCAATATATTTATATATTTATAATGTTAATTAACCTGTCTTTTACTAATATTTTTTCATTTCAGCAATTTCTAAAGTTTAAACGATATTTGGAATTTTTTGTACTATAAAATAAATTCAAAAAATTATTAGCATATGGAATATTTTTATATTCATAATATCTTCTTTCTTTCGAAAATTTGAGAAAAAAGAACAACGATATCTCATTTAGATGCAACTCATTTTATTTAATAAAATTTTACTAACATATTTTATTTATTATGCTATAAATTGAATTCTTTCAAAGATTCTCAGAAACTCAATGAATTCATTGCATATCATTTTAATTTTCTGTTTACCTTCTTTTTTTATTATATACTTTTTACACTAACTATCACACTGTAAAATTATCATATTTAAAAATTATCATTAAAAAAAAATTTGTATAAACAGAGAAAACGCGAGAGAGAGAGAGAGAGAGCAGCAAATG